GAACGTAGTGCTGGAGTCCAGTACACAACAGGAACTTAAAACTTATTCAGCTAAATAAACTAAGCTCCCCATGTGAGTTAGCATCACTGTCTTGGAAAGCAACTCCCTGAATACATACATACTAAAATTTTTAAAATCTGAATTCTTATGAAATCTTTGTAAAAACAGAAGCAGCTCTGGACAATACCATCCACCCTTAATACCTCTGAGGTGGGGAGTGAGGAAGAAAGCACAATTTGATGCTACTCTAAAATTTATTTACTTTTTTATTTATTTACTTATTTATTTATTTATTTACTTACTTACTTATTTATTTATTTACTTTATTTTATTCTGCTCTGCACTAACAGCAGAGAGCCTGATGCAGGGCTTGAACTTAGGAACTGTGAGATCATGACCTGACCCATAGTCGGAAGATTAACCAACTGAGCCACCCAGGTGCCCCAATGCTAAAATGTATTTTAAACCTCATATTTAATTTTTTAAAAACATCATTGTATATTTTTCTTATAAAAATCTGTTATTTTAACATAAAACAATTTTTAAAAGTATTTATGATTGAATAAATTTAACACTACTCTTCTACCCAGATGGGAGTACTTTATTTATCTTGTGGCTTTGAGAACCCATGATCTAATAACTACCAAAGAACACTGGCCTACATCAGAAACAGAACTCTAGAGCCTCTCCTATTTCCAACTCCTTAGTGAAATATTCTTTTCTTGTTTAAAAATATCCCCTTGACACCTAGGTAATTTGAAAAGCAAATCCTTGTTAATGTCATAATGGGCTCAGATTTCTTAATGTATACCCATTTTACAGGGATATCTTCAAGAGAATTCCCTAATACATACTATTTCAGGTGAGCATTCTAGAAATAATGATAAGAGTTGATAGAGACGGTTTTGGCCAAACACTAGTGTTCCCTTCTGATGCCCAGCAAATGGCATCACTTCCTTAGGGGACGCCACACACTGGCCCTGCCCTGCGTTCCCATTGTCTAATTCTAATTCTCTACAACTGGGAAGAAGAATGATTCATTTGTATTTACTGTAATCCAGGCATTTTGCTAACTGCTTCATAGGCTTATCTCATTTAATCCTCATAACATTCCTCAGAGAAAAGCAGTATTCTTATCCCCATTTTATGTTTGAGAAAAACTGAGGCTCACAGAAACTACATAACTTTTCTTAGATCACACAGCTACCACATGGTGGTTCCTGGGCATGAATCCAAGGAGTTTAACTCAAGAACCTGCTTACTCCAGTAATTATACTTAATAGATTAATCTCTAAGGAGAACACTTTGGTATGATGTATAAGTTTTTCTTTTTGAGATACTAACCAGTAGTCCAATTACTTTGCCTCATTTCATAGACTCTATATTCTAAGTTCTTTTTTTTAAAATTTTTTTAATATTTATTCATTTTTGAGAGAGAGATTGAGTGTGAGTAAGTAGGGGAGGAGCAGAGAGAGAGGAGACACAGAATGCAAAGCAGGCTCCAGGCTCTGAGCCAACAGCACAGAGCCCGACATGGGGCTCAAACCCACAAGTGGTAAGATCATGACCTGAGCCAAAGTCAGATGCTTAACTGACTGAGCCACCCAGGCACCCCTCTAAATTCTTAATCATTTCGGTCTCTAACCTCTCAGGGTACTTCTAATTTTCACCCATATTTCCAAACTGTCAAAGAGATCTGATCAGATTAGATCTCATTTAAATAGAAGAATATATTGTGGAAAGTCTAGAGCTTAGCATTTGCTGTCAAGTGACCCCATGTAATGATTAGTTTGTGACCCTAGGTTTTGTCTTCTGTAGGCCTCAGTTTACTCAATAAAATGTCTTCCTGTCAGTCAGGATAAAATTAACTAAGAAAATGGCATGCCTGAAATTGATTTGTGTTAAGATTTATTGAAGTTCAGAAAATGAGCAATGAATCTAAATTTAATTCTCCAGCAATAGCTATTTTCTCAGTCTCTATATTTGCACGGATGTGAAATGAGGAAGATTACTAAATATTGCCATAAGATTCATAACACATATGGAAGTAAACTTTAACCACAGCACTGGTAGTGCTGGTTATCACCATTAGTTTGTAAGTCTTAGAGAAGATTTTCAAAAATTTAAATTCAATAGGTGCCTGAGTAGTTCAGTCAGTGAATCATCTGACTCTTGGTTTCGGCTCAGGTCATGATCTCATGGTTTCATGCAGTCAAGCCTTGCATCAGGCTCTGGGCTAATAGTGCAGAGCCTGCTTGGGATTCTCTCTCCTCTCTCTGCCCCTCCCCCACTCACGCTGCCTCTGTCTCTCTCAAAAATAAGTAAATAAACTTTATTTTGAAATTTTAATTCAAAGTATTAACCCCCCAAGAGAAAGCTGAAGCTCCCAATAATTATAGCCTTGATCATATAAGCATGTTTTAACACTACTTTATTTCAATAAGATAGAATTTTACAATTTCTCTTTTCATTTCTTTCTAATTCAATAATATTGTAATTTTCTGGGTGCCTGGGTGGGTCAGTGGGTTAAGCATCTGATCTCAAAGTTCATGGGTTCAAGCCCCACATCAGGCTCTCTGCTGACAGCTCAGAGCATGGAGCCTGCTTTGGATTCTGTGTCCCCCTCTCTCTCTCTGCCCCTCCCCTGCTCATGCGCTCTCTCTCTTAAGAATGACTAAACATTTTTTTAAAAAATTAATAATATTGTAATTTTGTAGAGCTCCAAATGTGTTTACATATGTACACACATATATACACATATGTTTACATATATACACACAGTATTATCTGTTTATGAAAACACCGAGCAATTTGAATTTGAAGAAATATTTTGGGGAAAGTATTTATCATGATTTTTACATGTCTAAACATTAATAACTTATCCATTTTTATTGATTAATCAATTAAGCAGTATTTATTGATTACTGTGCAAATCCCCATGTGCCATACTGAGGCTGAAGACATAACTGAGACTGTAGACAGGGAGATGAAATGTAGAGATTACTTGTCAAGGCTTTCCCAGAAAAGGAACAGCAGGAGGCAGGTTGATGATACGAGTTAATGAAGACGGGCTGGAAAGCCCAACTGGGATATGAGACCCCTGGATACAGGCAATGGAGCCTAAGTAATTTCTGATGAGTTTGAACTGGGATCTAACATGAGGTGTTTTTTTTTCCAGAGACTTATTTGTGCAATAAATAAATATTTTGAAAACAGGACTAAGAAATGAAAATATGAAAGCAGGAAACAGGAAAAAACAGTTAATCATTTCATATACATAAATTAGAAAAATTCTTTAGCTAATGGCTCGTTACTGAGATTTAATGGCTTTCGTCATCTCAGGGCTGCCCATCCTATTTTTGATCACCATTAAATTTCTTCAGCTTTTGTCTTTTCCAGCTTTTAGCCCCTGCCATCTTGTTTGCTGGCACTCTACCCAATCATCCTTGTGGCTTCTCTCTTCCCTTCTCTTGGGTCACCTATACTGTCACCTGTATCATGTCCTAGGCAGAGTCCTCCTTTGGGTGGCACTCTAGTCCTGCCTAGCCCTACTTGAATTAGTTGCTGCTTTCAGTTGAACTGAATTGAATGGAATGGATTCCCTTCACCAGATGTAAACACAAATCCACTCATCCACTCCTTCCGTTTCTTTGAAATTCTCAAAACCATTAGACAGGACTGCTTAAAAAAAAAAAAAAAAAAAGCAAGTGAAGCTAACATGTGGATGTGGCTCTTGACAGGAAGGTTATACAACTCGCAGGACTAGGAAGGGAAGCACTGCAAATCCTTAAGTGCTTTTTCTGGCCTGGGTCTCCCAGGGTGGGGTAACATTCTCCAGCGTTTTGACCCGTCAACTTAACTTCCCAATTTTCAGTTCCCTAGAGCTGGGGGGGGGGGGGGGGGGGGGGGGGGGAGGGGGGAGGATGGAGTACCATGAACATGATTTAATGCACTCCTAGTTATAAAAGTCTGCAGCAAGAAGAAATAAAACAGTTCCCAAGTTCTTTATTAGGTTCAATTCTCAGTGTACAAACATTCTAATTCAACTTAAACAAAATAGCCCACACACATACCATTTCTAAAGAGACTGTCTCCCACCCTTCTTTAACCTCCCTCTTCCCTCTTACATTTATCTCCCTTTTTATTTTCTACCGTTCTTTTTCCTTTCTCCGTTTCTCCCGCTTATCATAGTCTTCCCAAAGAAAAGTTTATCTGCAACCACCATTTAACCACGGTCACCATAAACGAAGCGAACCCTTCATCAGCGAAAGCAAAACCCTCCGTGGGGGGCGTCTCGGAGTAGACGCCCCTTCCCCTCCCACGTACACACACTTAGTGCCAGGCAACAGGACAGCGAAGCCCAAGTGTCCGCAGGTCAGGGAGGCGGGGACACCAGATCTGGTCACTCTCAGACGCCGTCTAATTCCTTCTGCGCGATCGGACGCCAGGGAAGCAGCCTCCCCTCCAGGACCGAGGAGCCCCGGGGCTTTGAAAGTGCGCTCCCCGCGCCGAGCCGGGGAGAAGTGAAGGGTGCGAGGGCGGGGCCCCTGCGCTGGCCACCCCCGCCGAAGGTCCAGCCGTCGCCCGCCTTCCTACTAGCTCAGGGAGCTGGCGAGGAGAGCGGGCTCACCCTCTCAATGAAAGGCAGATATCCCTTTAAGGTTCGCTTCGTAGCGGGTGGACTTTAGCCTAAACACGAGCCCGGGAGGCTGGCTTTATTTGTCCATGTCTCGGACAGAGGCTGGGAGCCTGCCAGTGGGATTTCAGAGACCGAGCGCGCGAAGGGGCGGGCGTGGGGGCAGTAAGTCTGAGATGTGAATAGCGTGGAGAGGACTTAGCCGCATTCGTCGGATACACAGGAAATTCACTCTTTGGCTTCTGGGTGCCGCGACCGGCCGGGGTCGGAGACAGACCTGCGGCGGTCGAGTGGCCCAAAGCGCGCGGCTCCCGAACCCGGTTCTGCCGAGTCCTGCCCTCCGGTCCAGCGCGTCTCCGGACTCTGCGGACTCTCGGGTCATGGCACCCCAACGCCAAGCCGGCCTAGGACTGGGTGTCGCCTGCTGCTGCCTCCTCACCGGTGAGCGACCCTTCTCTCCTCTGGGCATCTGCGCGCGGCGCTCAGGGCTTGTGGTGGTTGTTGCGTAGAGAGACGGAGAGCTCTGGCCCAGAGAGGTGGATGGAGCGCCGGTCCGGTTTGGGACACTCAGGTAGTCTGGGCAAGTCTGAGTACAGAAAGGAGTTTCTGCGTTTTGTTTTTGATAATCGTTTTGATGTGTTTCAAAACCTTCCCCCGCAGAGGTACGAGGGAGACAGTGCTGAAAACTTTACAAGGTAAAAATGACTTTACAAAGTTGTTTTGACAGTTTACATTGTATTTTAGGCCTTTGCTGAAGGGCATTTCCCCACCCCCCCCCCCCCCCCGCCGGGAGGGAAGAAAGTAGAGGGCGCCTGATTTATATGCAAAGGTCCTACCCTCAGGTTACTCAAGAGTGGACATTATTGCATTCTGTTGCTGTCAAGTATTCAAAATCTTTTCTGCTACCGAAAGAGGAAAGAAAGGAATGCGAAGCAAAATTGTTTCTAGTCCTGAAATGATGTTTCTATATAAGGAGGAGGAGGAACATTTTGAAATTGAGAAAGGGATAGTGAACATTTATTCTGTAACTGTCACAGAGAAGACTATTTTTTAAATGCAAAATATAGCATTGTTACTTGTATTTAAAAGGTATTTTTCACGAGGACTTTAAAAAACCATTAGAAATGCAAAGTTATATCCAATTCAGAAAAATGTTGAATCATAGCATTTCCTAAGATTTTCCAAATGATTAACCCACAGTCAGATCTTTTTTTACCAGTTACTGAGGAGAGAAGTCATAATGGTAAAAGAAGGCAGATGGAAGAAACATTGTGTGAAAGAAAGTGACCTGATTAATGGTTTGGTTAATGGTTGGGTTTAGCATATCATCAATATTCAATGTTCAGTGTGTTTGTTGCTGGCATGCTATTAGTACTAGTTAATTTAGCATTTTGCCATTAAAAACAGGGATTATTCAGCCAGTTTACCCTGATTTAGATGCTCAGGCATGGTTAACTCTTATGAAGATCTCTGAGAAGTGGATTATAGTAAGCAAAACTTTTTACATAGTGAGGTGGTATTAAGAGAATTAATTAAGAACTACACTGCCTTTTCATACAAACATTTCCCACTACTCAGGAAGTGTCCGGTAATCCGAACTGTAGAGACTTCTGAACGGCTTTACAACCAGTGAATGGTTTAACTTAACAGCTACTGTCACTGCGCTTTACACTTCTTTGACCTATGATGCCTCTCCAGCTCAAACTTTTTGGAGGTTGTTTGCATTTTGTTGTTGTTATACAAAGTCTGAAGTTGTCTAACTATTCAAGTTGTACCCTTTTCAGTTTACCAAAAAAGCAGTCACTAGTACGGAAAGGATCAAATGAAATTTGCACACACACACACACACCCCCCAAAAAAAGAATGAGGGGCGCCTGGGTGACTCAGTCGGTGAAGTGGTGACTCGATTTCAGCTCAGGTCATGATCCATGATCTCACTATTCATGAGTTTCAGCCTTGTTGCCAGGCTCTGCACCTGGAACCTGCTTGGGATTCTCTTTTTCCCTCTCTCTCTCTGCCCCTCCCTTGCTCACATCTTCTCTCTCTCTCTCTTACTCTCAAAATAATAAACTTTAAAATGAAACTTAAAAAAAATAGAGGTCAATAAGCTGTGATTTCATATATTGAAGATCTTTTAGGTTTAACTGCTTTATTTACCCATGCCTAAAACAGTCACAAGTTGCATACTGTGGGTTTTTCGCAATTGTTGGGATAACATGCCTTGGTATGGCATATTAAGGCAGAAAGAGACTTAAAGAGGAATAACATAGATATTTCTAAATTATAAAATTTAAGTCCCTTTTGTGTATGTGAATATGTGTATGTACATATAACTCAACCATACTTTTAATTTATTGTGTCAGATCAGTCAGTTCCTCATATGTGCTATAATTATGCCCATTTCACAAGGATCTTAAATTGGACTTCTTCTTCGCCTTTGCTGATTTTCGAGTCAGTCATCATATTATTAGCTTTCCTGAACACTTCTCATCAATTTGGAGTCCACACCTAACCTGGGGTCCCATCACCATACCTACCAGTGCACACTAACTGTAGACAGCTCTTCTTGCTGCCAATCTGAACCCAACCTCAAGCAAGCAAGCAAACAAAAATACTTTGATGGTTCTTTATTGTCTTTAGATAAAATCCAAAATTCTGAACAGACCATTCACGGTCTGTCCTAATCCAGCACCCTCTTTCTCCTACTATACCTGTATTGTTTTCCTATTTCTGTTTTAACAAATTGCCACAGATTTATTGCCTTAAAATAAGACAAATTTACTATCTTACAGTTCTGTAAGTTAGAAGTCACATTGGGCTAAAATTAAGGTGCAGAGCTGCATGTCTTCTGGAAGCTATCAGGGAAAATCCATTTCCTTGCCTTTTCCAGCTTCTAGAGGCCACTTGCATTCTTTAGATTGTGGGTCCATCCTACATCTTCAAAGCCAGCAGTACAGCATCTTCAAATTTTTCTCTGACTGCTTCATCATCCATTTCCTTCTGTGACACTGAACCTTCTTTCTGTGACTGAGCCTATTGCCTCTTTCTTATAAAGATCCTTCTAATTATATTGGACCCACTTGCATAATGCAGGATAATCTTCCTGTCTTGAGATCCTTAATTTAACCACAGGTGGTAAGTCCTTTGTGCCATATAAGATAACTAACATTCACTGGTTCTAGGGATTAGGACACAACATCTTTGGGAGACCATTATTCTGCCTACCAAAATCCCAAAATGTACACTTCCCATGATAGCTTTTTCGCCTTATATGCTCATTTTGCTACTGTGGTTATGATCTTGTTGTTTTATCCATGCAGAAAAGAATTCCACCTTACCTTCCCACCACCCCTTGCTGAGCCTCTGCTCAGCTTAGACCTTTGACCTCGAATCTCATGATGTGAAATAATATATCATATCGGCTATCGAAATGTGGGTTCGGGGTGCCTGGTGGCTCAGTCGGTTAAGTGTCCGACTTCTGCTCAGGGCATGATCTCAAGATTCAGGGCTCTGTGCTGACAGCTCAGAGGGGACCCTGCTTCTGAATGTGTGTCTCCCTCTCTCTCTGCTCCTCCCCCACTCATGCTCTGTCTCTCTGTTTCTCAAAAGTAAATAAGCATTAAAAAAGTTTATAAATATGGGGCGCCTGGGTGGCTTAGTCGGTTAGGCGTCCGACTTTCGCTTAGGTCATGATCTCGAGGTTCGTGGGTTCGAGCCCCGCGTCGGGCTCTGTGCTGACTGCCAGCTCAGAGCCTGGAGCCTGTTTCAGTCTGTGACTCCCTCTCTCTCTGACCCTCCCCTGCTCACGCTGTCTCTCTCTCTCTCTCCTAGAAATAAATAAAACATTAAAAAAAAAAATTTTTTTTAAGTTTATAAATGTGAGTTTATATCACCACAACTAACTACCACCATCCCAATAAACTTCCCACTAGATTAAGAATTTTCTTGTATTAGCTTTTAATATTTTAAAATGATTTGTCAACAGATTATTTTATGTACGTCAAAGTCCCAGCAAAAAACCATTGACACATATAAAGGATTTAACTGAAGAAAGTTTAATAAAAGGGACTATTTACAGAGGCTTTTAAAGAAACTGACAAAAGATGGTGGAGCACCTAAGGACAAACAATAATGAGAAAGCATCTGAAGCAACAGTGGGCAGAAAAGCCATTACTGCCCCTAAGCATGCTGAGGGAACAGCGTCAGGTTGACTGTGAACTCTAGCTATGGGAGAGGGGCTGTTGGACAGGAGCTGGGGCATAGGGAGAAGAATGCAGCTAGAGCCAAAACTGAAGCCCCACCAGGAGGCAGCAGGGGAGATGAATAACCCCTTCCTTTCCTCCCACCCTCTCATTCCTTGCCCAACCTCTCATTGGCCATGTCTAAATGGTAGAATTAAACCTCCAGGGGATAAAGATCAAGACATACAATAACAGGGGCGCCTGGGTGGCTTAGTCGGTTGAGCGTCCGACTTTCGCTTAGGTCATGATCTCGCAGTTCGTGGGTTCGAGCCCCGCGTCGGGCTCTGTGCTGACTGCCAGCTCAGAGCCTGGAGGTAGTTTCGGTCTGTGACTCCCTCTCTCTCTGACCCTCCCCTGCTCACGCTGTCTCTCTCTCTCTCGCCTAGAAATAAAAAAAAAAAAAAAAAAAAAAAAAAAAAAAAAAAAAAAAAAAAAAAAAAAAAAAAAAAAAACATTAAAAAAAAAAAGACATACAGTAACAGAGAAAAACTGGCACAACTTAATGCTGAAAGGCACATATTTATTGAGAACATATTCTGTGTAAGGCTTTGTGCCAAAAACTTTGCATGTATTATTTCATCTTAATTTCAAAAACAGGAAAAAATTTAGAACTATTATCCATATATTGGAGATGAAGAAGCCAAAATGTTAAGAGATTAATTCTTCCAAAATCACAACTAGTAAAGGCAAAGCCTGTGCTCAGCTTAGATCTCTGATCTCAAGTCTCATGCTGTGAGATGCCACACAAGCTATCCAAATGCAACTCCATTTCCCTCTTGCTCAACCCTCTAAATGTTAAATCTAACAATACCTGTCTAAAAAAATTTCATAAGGACATAACTAATGATGTGAGTCTGTTATTTTCATGACTTTTAGGTACACAGTGAAATTAGATGATGATTCAAGACTACTATCTCTGGATATTAAGAATATATAGAATGGCACCTAATTGAGTTCTCTGTCTCTTCTAGAAATATTTTACTTAGCTTAAAAGCAAAGGGTCTTCCTTTGTGAGTTTCTTCAGTCAAGATTTCCTATTCAAAATGAACTCCAGAGGCACCTGAGTGGCCCAGTAAGTGAAGTGTCTGACTCTTGATTTTGGCTAAGGTCATGATCTCATGGTCAGTCGTGGGATCTAGCCCCGCATCTAATCCTCTGCTTGGGACTCTCCCTCTTTCCCTTCCCACCCCTCTCCTCTCT